AATCTGGGTCCCTTGATTTGTAGAGTATTTCTAGTTTGATTAAGTCGTACTCTAGGAATATCAAAACTGTATTTATTTCTGGTGTGGTGCTCATGGGTTCTGTTACAACCTTCTATGAAGCTTTTGAGGTCAGGATTGGCATTACAGTTCAGCATTTTATATATGTATAATACACATGAGAGAATGTGCAGTGACTTAATATCTAACATATTCAGAGATTTGAGTAGGGATACCGAGTGATGTCTGGGGCCAGAGTTGGATATTGTCCTAATAGCAGCTTTGTGTTGAGTAATTAGAGGACGTAAGTGATTTTGGGTAGTAGAGCCCCAAGCACAAATACCATAGTTGAGATATGGATAGATGAGGGAGTAATAGAGAGTCACCAGGGCAGGGCGGGGTACATAATATCTGATCTTAGAAAGAATGCCAACAGTTTTTGAAACTTTTTTTGATATATTTAGAACCACCACAACCTAGGCAAAACCTAATAAGGAGCTAAGCTGGCGAAAATGCCACTGCTACAACAGGCGAAAAACGTTGTATGAAAACAAGAAAAAACCAGAGACTTCACAACTAGCAAACTAGCAGCCGGAGAAAAACATCGGCCGCTGCATGATAGCAAGAGGAGGCTGCGCCAGCCGTAGTGCGCCCCACCAAGAAACATACACCCGCCCTACCCGGGGCAAGATGGAGAGCCCAAGACCCCCAGCCTACCCCAGGGCTAGACAACCACAATTGAGGAAGCCTTCTAAAAGGGAGTGATTCCCAAATGACCCAGAGAAGATAACCCTGACCATGCAAGGACAATACTCACGTAGCACCTAGGAAAGGTGTCCCTAGATGTATGCAGCTCTGATATTTCAGGTACTGTGCCTTGAAATCCAGGCCAGTGCACCCGGCAAGTGTAGGAACAGCTGTTGAGGCAAAAATCCACAATAGAAATCATGGCCTGAGGCGACGTCTGAGCACCAAGCACATCGGTCAAGAACTGAACTGGTGGGATGGCAGCTCCCTCCCCCCCTTCCCACTCATGAGCAGGGGGGGGGGGCTACTGTAGTTGGATGAAGTGTTGTTTGCTTTCTTTCTGGAGCAGTTCTTTTTGCCATTTTGAGGATGTAGCTCGCAATTTTCACCCAGACAGTGGTCTGTTTTGATTCACCTTTCTGCGTGCCTTTCCTTGTCAATGTCAAGTATGATATACTTTAAATGCATAGTGTTCATAGGCCATTGCTCCCTGTGCCTCTCTGAGGGGTCCAGGCTGTGGCTCTGGTACCCAGTAGGCAACAAGAACTCTGAGACTGATGACCTCAACTAATATAGCACTATATAGTATTGATAACTTCATGGATCCAACAAGGATCCCCCACAGAAAATAGTAATAAAATATGAAAGTTTTTACGTTTTAAAATAGAAAGAGAGAATTTACTGATGAAACTAGAGTGCAAAACGACTGTGCACAAATGATCATACACCAAAAGAATAATTTACTTACATTATCTGTAGCCGTGTCTAGGTTAGACATGGTTAATGATAACACTTAGCCACCTTATATCTCTACATGTACCATTTACATCATTATTCACTTCTTGGTTGTGATAAGTGCAGCTTACAGGTCCACCCCCCCCCCCCCGAGGACCACAATAGTGAAGGTATGGGGGGGTGAAGCCCCCCACTGTTGATGCTCAAGTTAACACTTGAGTGATGTTCCTTGGAGTTCAGCTCTTAGGTATGATGGGTGCACTTTACGTTAAAGATCTGTTCTCCTGTAAACTCTTGGTAGTATCCAAAATGTCTTCATGAAGGTGTTTGTTATTGTTGTTGTTGTTGGTATGAAGGGCAGCGACGGGACTAAGCTGTGCCCTGCCAGTCCAAATGTGCAGAAGACGGCGAGAGAATAGTCCCCTGATGGTGAAATACCGCAGTCAGAGAGATGACGAGTCACAACCCATAAGCATCTTCGTAGTCTATAGATATTGATACATGCAAATTAGTACAGTATTCATCTTCTTTACAATACGATTGATGCAGTTTACATGAAGGATTTTCCTGCCCCAAGAGGGCACGAGTGGTGATGCTGGAAGACGCCTCACTCACAGTAGCGCATCAATCTTCATAATTTGACAGAGCTTCTAAGTTGTCGAGGTCGCCTGTGTGTGCGAGGATGATGAAAATAAACATATGAGTGCAATTCATGAAATCTGATAAAACCTTCTTGGCAGCGGCGGATGTTGTGTGGAAGGCGTCGGATCATCGCTTGTCATACTACACCAATGTTTACGTTTTCTGTGATTGGGCTTGATATTATTGTTGTTGTTGTTGTTGTTGATTAAAATTCAAATTCAAATGTTTATTTAGATAAAGTGCATGCATACAAGGGGTGATGCAGATATTGATGAATTTATACATAGAGCTAGTACATACAATGCCTAAAGCCTTCAGAAATGCCTCCAGAAAAAATCAGAAATGCCTTCTGATTTTTGTTTTTCATTTTATCTAATTTCTGTGTCCTTCCTGGCTATCTATTGGATCTTTATTTTACTTCTAATTTGTTAGTATTTTATTGTATTTGCTTTTATTCTTGTGTTTTGCTATATCGTGATCCCTCTGCATCTCTATGCACACTGATATTGATCCGGATCAAAATCTTGTGTCTCATATCTACACCAACCAGCACATTGATCATCATTATTGCAAGTATTTCACAGCACACCAGGCTAAAAACAAACTCCAAAATAGCACCTGTTTATCAGTTTACAACCAAAATATATGTTAGATCACTTGGTAAACATTTTGACAATACAAATGCATTTCTGCGGTTGGAAGAAAACGCTCACAGAGTGGGGGACTTATTTTATTTTATAATAATAATAATTATTAATTATTTAAATACAAATAATTAATTAATAATAATCATCATCATTAATGATTAAATACTTGATAATCCTTAAATGAAGAAGCATAATAGCTCATTATAACGAATAAATAAATGATTAAAGTGGAATTAATTATAATGACTAATAATGATTAGTGAATAACCATAAATTAATATACAGAATAAAATTAATGGATAGCCGTTATAATGATCAAATACAATGAAGAGAGATCTCTAATTGAAAGTTGCAAGATTGAATTACGGTAATTCCAATTCTTGGTATTCTTGGCTTATCACTTTGGGGGTTCCGTCGGAGCACCCCCAAGGTAACACAAATTCGTTGCAAGATGGAACAAGTGTCCCCAGCAAACTGCTTTGTCCCAGCCGATGATCCTGGTGGTGTTCCAGCTGAGCATGCCCCTGGGCGCCAAGCACAGCTGCTGACGTTCCGGCCGATGTGGTCCCGGCCGATGATCCAGCAGCTGATGGCCCAGCTGGTGGGGTTCCAAGCTGAGCACGCCCCTGGGGGCCAAGCACAGCTGCTGACGTGCCGACTTTTGTGGTCCCAGCCGATGAGCCAGCAGCTGCAGGCTCAGCTGACGGTCTTACAGCTGAGCATGCCTTGTAATTAATCATTGTGATTAAATAAAGTCCATCTTTGGCTAACTGCCAACAAACTCACCCTTAACATTGACAAAACTTTCTATATTCTGTTTGGCAATAAATCCTCTAATCAAATAAATCTCAAAATAAACAATACCCAAATTTGTAACAAATTAGATGGCAAGTTCCTTGGCGTTCTCATTGACCACAAGCTGAATTTCCAGGGACACATTCTAAATATATCAAAAACTGTTGGCATTCTTTCTAAGATCAGATATTATGTACCCCGCCCTGCCCTGGTGACTCTCTATTACTCCCTCATCTATCCATATCTCAACTATGGTATTTGTGCTTGGGGCTCTACTACCCAAAATCATTTACGTCCTCTAATTACTCAACACAAAGCTGCTATTAGGACAATATCCAACTCTGGCCCCAGACATCACTCGGTATCCCTACTCAAATCTCTGAATATGTTAGATATTAAGTCACTGCACATTCTCTCATGTGTATTATACATATATAAAACGCTAAACTATAATGCCAATCCTGATCTCAAAAGCTTCATAGAAGGTTGTAACAGAACCCATGAGCACCACACCAGAAATACAGTTTTGATATTCCAAGAGTACGACTTAATCAAACTAGAAATGCCCTATAAATCAAGGGGCCCAGAATGTGGAATGATCTTCCCAACCATGTTAAAGACTATACGTCTCTCAACCAGTTTAAGATAAAAACGAAGCACTACCTAATAAATTCCCTGTAACCTACCTTACCCCTCTGTTGTCAACCCATGTCTGTTTTGTTTTAAACAACGCTGTTTGTCTGTAATAATTTGTAATTGTATTTGTGCTGCTTTTTCAGCCATGTTTCCCCCTCTTTTATCTCTTTTTTTATTTGTTCTCAACACATTTTATTCTTTATACCCATTAGTATTAAGCTTTAGTCATTAATGTTTTTCCTGCCCGAAACGCTTTGGCTTTAGGCATTGTATGTACTAGTTCTATCTATTAATCCAACAAACTTTGTAAAATCTCTTGTATGTATGTCCCTTACATTTATATAAATAAATAAACATTTATTTATTTATTTATTTATTTATTTATTATTGTTAATTAATTGTTTGCAGTTGTTTAATTATTATTTATATGCTGCCAGTGACCCAGCAGCTGAAGGTCCAGCCGAGCATGCCAGTATAATCACCCATTATTATGAGTATTGTCAATTAATTATTAGTAGCTAATAATAGCAGCCGAAGGCTCAGCTGGTGGTGTTGCAGCCGAGCATGCACAGTCACTCTCATTATTTATATACGATTTATGTTCTTTACATTTTGTCATTCTTTATATTCCTTTCTAATTTATATATTATATATTGTTTGTTTGTTTCTCGGGCCAGACCCAGCTGCTGAGGTGCCGGCTGACGTAGTCCATGCTGATGATCCAGCAGCTGAGGGCCCAGCTGGTAGTGTTACGGCCACTGGGCGAGGCCCAGCTGTTGGGCCAGCTGGTGGAGTGCCAGATGTGCACGACACCGGGGGCCTAGCCCAGCTCCGGATGTCTCGGCTGACGAGTTTTCAGCCTATGACCCAGCAGCTGAGGCTCCAGAAGGAGGTATCCAGCCGACGATGTCCCGCCTGCTGAAGTTGACATCTAGCGGCGTCCAACCGAAGATGCCGCAGCTGCAATGGTCCAGCTGCCAAGGCTACAGATGCCGTGTCCTAACCGAGGATTTTCACGAGAGAAGAAGGGAAGACCACATTTTCTCTACATTCTTAATAATAATTTCGTTACAGTTCTAATTCGTCTTGATGAGCGTAAGTGGTCCCGCAGTTCCCCACTCAGCTATGCTGGGGCTTCATTCACTCCTACCCATTCCTGCCTTACGCAACAGGTGTCGCATCCATTTATCACCACTCTCGCAGCCTAAGTTGCCAACAGTACGCTTTGATGCGGGTCCCACGCACCTGTGCCTTTGCTTTTCACGTTACCTCTGCACACCAGCTCCTGCCCACCCTTACTGCTTTAATACTTCCAGATCCACAATAGAACGAGGACGAGGAAAACCTGTGATGATGGACCACGGCTCTCATGCCCACCGTGCGAGGTATCCTGGGAGGTGACCGACACGCTTCTAAGCCGACACCTCCACTCCACACCCGCGGGGCTCACAACAGCGACAATGACCGACACGGGATCGACCCTGGGAAGTCGGCCTCGGAGTGGACAGCGTTCACATTCCCACATCCGCCCTGGGGCCAGCTTTCCAGGACTAGTCTCTGTGAGGGCGGGCTACTACGACGAAGATATACACGGGATCGACCAGTCATTTGCCATGGTGGAAAGCGCTCCCTGCATGGAGTACAAACCCGGCAGTAGGTACTCCTCCCAGGGCACAGTCGGTGGGCCATCCCGCCTCTCTGCTCCACGGCTCGTCAAGATGGCGCTCCGTCGGCCCACCAAGCGAGCTGCGTCTGTTAGCAGCATCTGCCTAGTAGACCCGGAATGGTACCTTCTTCAGTCAGGAAAACCTGATTGTTTTTTAATGGTCTCTCCGGGCATATGGGCACGCTTACGGCCACGGTAGCGAGAAGTCATGTTCCTACTTATTTATTTATTTATTTATTTATTTATGCATATACAAGAATGTACATAAGGAATGTGAGGATACAAATATGGTAATTACAGTCTTGTAAAGCCACTAGCACGCGCAGCGTTTCGGGCAGGTCCTTAATCTAAGAGAATTTTAAGGAGGTAAATACTTGCAAAATTTATAGACAAAAAAATGATAACAGATTACATGGAATGAAAAAAAAAGATGAGAGAAAATTATAGGTACAGTATATTAAAGCACATAGGTAGCTATGATTGATTGCAATGACAGCTTAAAATGGTAGTTGACAACAAATTGGTAGGCACAATACAGCATTTATTTATTTATTTATTTATTTATTTATTTATGCATATACAAGAATGTACATAAGGAATGTGAGGATATAATTATGGTAATTACAGTCTTGTAAAGCCACTAGCACGCGCAGCGTTTCGGGCAGGTCCTTAATCTAAGAAAATTTTAAGGAGGTAAATACTTGCAAAATTTATAGACAAAAAAATGATAACAGATTACATGGAATGAAAAAAAAAAGATGAGAGAAAATTATAGGTACAGTATATTAAAGCACATAGATAGCTATGATTGATTGCAATGACAGCTTAAAATGGTAGTTGACAACAAATTGGTAGGCACAATACAGCAGAAACAATATAAGATTGATTGCAATGACAGCTTGAATGGTAGTTGACAAAAATTGGTAGTCACAATACAGCATATGGCTAGCACATAAAAGAAGACAGCAATGAACACAATGATAAGGTTGTTTGATATTACATAAAAATTAGGAGATTGGGTAACACTAGGTACAGAGCAAATTTAAAGCTCAGTGTAGGAAACTAAATAGATGAAGTTAGGTACTTTTTGGTTTTGCTTTTAAATAAGGCAAAAGTTTTACAGTTTTTCAATTCACTAGGGAGTGAGTTCCATTGACTAGGTCCCTTAATTTGCATAGTGTTTACACAGATTAAGTTTGACCCTGGGGATATCAAAGAGATATTTATTTCTGGTGTGGTGATAATGGGTCCTATTACATCTGTCCAGGGAGAGTTTCAGAGCATGGTTTGCATTTAGGAAACCAGATCGTTTATATATATAAGAAATAGAAGAGGTCCTAAGATGCTGCCCTGTGGCACTCCAACGGTAATTGGTAGAGTGGAAGAAGTT